TGACGACACAACTGATAAAAATACGTTTTAAAATGAGAATAATTCTGGAAAACTTTAAAGACCCAACCTGGACATCTAAGGACCAACAGAGGGGTCCTTCTTCTTCTTCTTCTTTATCTTCTTGTTCTTCTCCTTCCTCCTCCTCCTCCTCCTCCTCCTGTGTTTTAAGGTGAGCCTCTCTCTCCAGCAGCTGAGTGATGCTGGGCTCCATGCTAACCCAAGCGTGCGCTAACTTTAGCGTAGCGCCCAGCGTGCTGCAGCTGACCTCCTGTTGGCTTTTAGAGAACCCGTGTGGCTGCAGCTGCAGTTATGGGAGGTGACACGCCTGTGTGTGCACGTGTGCGTGAACCTAAGCTGGTCTGAAGTGTCCTCGCCTTTGGCAGACTCTGCCCTTCCTTCGGCTCGTGTCTCAGCGTGTGCAGCAGAGTTTGTGCGGCTCCTCAGCTGTGGATCACAGACCGGTCTCGGTGTCGATGAAAGTTTCTGAGACAGACGCGTCCAAAGGACATTTTTATAATTCAGGGTTTTTACCTGGATGGTTGTAAAGTTGACAAAAAGGTGAAATATGTTCAAAATGTAAAATAAATGTCTTCATGTGAGCTCTTCTGGAGCAGGGTCTGCAAGCTGCAGCTCTGGGACCACTGTGGGGCCACACTGGGGGCACTGTGGGGCCAGGCTGGGGCCACTGTGGGGCCAAGCTGGGGTTAACGCTGGGGCCAGGCTAAGGCCACGCTGAGGGCCACTCTGGGGCCACTCTGGTGCCATGCTGAGGGCCACTCTGGGGCCACGCTGAGGGCCACTCTGGGGCCACTCTGGGGCCACGCTGAGGGCCACTCTGGGGCCACACTGGGGGCTAACTCTGGGGCCACGCTGAGGGCCACTCTGGGGCCACTCTGGGGCCACACTGGGGGCTAACTCTGGGGCCACTCTGGGGCCACGCTGAGGGCCACTCTGGGGCCACTCTGGGGCCACGCTGAGGGCCACTCTGGGGCCACTCTGGGGCCATGCTGAGGGCCACTCTGGGGCCACGCTGAGGGCCACTGTGGGGCCACGCTGAGGGCCACTCTGGGGCCACGCTGGGGCTCTTTAGTCCCTTGTCTGCGGCTCGTTGAAGGTTTGATCCAAACTAAACTATCACTTTTATTTACTTTAACATGCATCAAATTAAAGTGTTTGGTTTAATATTTCAAATCCAACAACTGTTTACACACAATTTAAATTTTAAACTTTAAACACATCGGCCTCAGAGTTTTAATTTTTATCACTTTAAACTACAATTATTTTCCTCCTTTACAGAAACATGGTGCCTTCTTTTGTCTTTCACTGTAAAAATATGAACACATTTTAAATTTCATTATAGATGTTTGGGCCCCCACTGGCCCATGGGCCACCAGTTTATAATGGCAGTTGCAGCAGGTTGGTGGCTCCTGACACGTTTAATTAATTAATTTTATTATTTTATTTTATTTATTTATTTAATTTATTTAATATAATAATTTAATTTATTGAGCGAAAGGGTAGTAATGGTTCTCGTGATCAAAAGGTTGCAGACCCCTGCTGTAGAGGGTCCTCGGGTCCCGGTGGTCCTGGTGGTCCTGGTGGTCCCGGTGGTCCTGGTGGTCCTGGTGGTCCAGTCTGTGAACACTAGGAAACAGTGCAGATAAATTAAATGGATTCAGACAATGTCTCTGTCTCAGATTGTCCTCATGGACGTCCACTCCTCTGCGTCTCCTCCTCAGGTGTTCTCAGGGATCTTCACAGCTGAGATGGTTCTGAAGATCATCGCTCTGGACCCGTATTACTACTTCCAGACGGGCTGGAACATCTTCGACAGCATCATCGTGTGCCTGAGCCTCATGGAGCTGGGCCTGTCCGACGTGGAGGGTCTGAGCGTCCTCCGCTCCTTCAGACTGGTACGTCCTCTAACAGACACCGAGACCTCTGGGTCCGGGTGTCCAGAACCAGGACAGAACCATCCTGTCACAGAGCCCAAGACTGTAGGTAGAAAAGACCTGTAGAGACGAGCCGAAGGAAACAGAACAGTAGCTGAAAGCTAACAGTCCAGCAGGTTCACTGAAGGTTTCAAACATCAGTTTTTCAAAGATTTCAATGAGAGAAATGTAAAACGTTGAATAATCCAAAAGTTGAAAGCTACAGACCAAAAGTCATCACCGCGGTGAAAGAGCCGAATGTTTTCAAAGCTGAACGTGTGAAGTAGCTGAAACTATGCTGAACACCGAGTCCTGGAACGGTTCAGAAGAAACCTTAAACAGGAAACAGTTTGCTGACTCAGCGTTTACTCAGCGACAGCAGAAACCAGAACACTGGTCCAGTTTGGAGCAGACTGGATCTGGACCAGCAGTCCGCTCAGCGTTTGTGACGTTTAAGATAAAAGATGTAAATCGACACAAACGTCCTGCTCTGATGAGACGAACAGAACATCAGGACTCAGGCGAGGCAGGAGTCCTCACAGAGATCTGTGCAGCCGGTCTTCATCTGTCCCTGATGATCTGTGAAACCGTCACTCTGATCCTCGTCACCAGAGGACGCAGACACAAACCTGTCATCCCGCTGGTTTCACCGAGGTCTTTTTGTTTGATGTCCGTCCTCGTCTTTATGGACCTTCAGCCTGAATCTGACCCAACAACTCATTAGTTCTGGTTCTGGTTTTTACACACCCGGGTCCACTTGACATTAAAGGATTTATTCTCAGAGTCTGGTTCATTCAAACTGATCCTCTCAGCTTTAACCTCTCATCAGTCAGGATTATTGAGCATGCATCAGGATACTCTCATCAGTCAGTCTTTTATTTTGAAGTTCTGTCTCTTCCTGTTTCAATCCCAGCTGCGAGTGTTCAAACTGGCTCGCTCGTGGCCGACGCTCAACACCCTCATCAAGATCATCGGGAACTCCATGGGCGCTCTGGGCAACCTGACGTTGGTCCTCGCCATCATCGTCTTCATCTTCGCCGTGGTGGGCATGCAGCTGTTTGGAAAGAACTACTATGTGAGGCCTCTGAAGGTTCCTTCAGGTCTGATGGTCCTGAAGTCCGGTTCATCCATCTCATTATGTGTCTGTCCCCTCAGGAGTGTACCTGTAAGATCTCCAAGGACTGCTCCCTTCCTCGCTGGCACATGAAGGACTTCTTCCACTCATTCCTCATTGTCTTCAGGGTTCTGTGTGGCGAGTGGATCGAGACCATGTGGGACTGCATGGAGGTGGCGGGCCAGCCACTCTGCATCCTGGTCTTCATGCTGGTCATGGTCATCGGGAACCTGGTGGTGAGTCCACTCTGAGTCGTTGGTAAGGGGGTGACTTCCTGTGCAGGGGTGTTGTTGCTCATCAGGTGACCAGTAGGAGGCGTGGCCTCCTGATCAGCTGACCAGGAGGAGGTGTGTTCTGCCAATCAGCTGACCAGGAGGAGGTGTGGCCTCCTGATCAGCTGACCAGTAGGACGTATGGTCTCCTGATCAGCTGACCAGTAGGAGGTGTGGTCTCCTGATCAGCTGACCAGTAGGAGGTGTGGTCTCCTGATCAGCTGACCAGTAGGAGGTGTGGCCTCCTGATCAGCTGACCAGTAGGAGGTGTGGTCTCCTGATCAGCTGACCAGTAAAAGGTGTGGTCTCCTGATCAGCTGACCAGTAGGAGGTGTGGTCTCCTGATCAGCTGACCAGCAGGAAGTGTGTTCTGCCAATCAGCTGACCAGGAGGAGGTGTGGTCTCCTGATCAGCTGACCAGCAGGAGGTGTGGCCTAGTGACCAGCTGACCAGTAGGAGTTGTGGCCTCCTGATCAGCTGACCAGTAGGAGGTGTGTTCGGCTGATCAGCTGACCAGTAGGACGTATGGCCTCCTGATCAGCTGACCAGTAGGAGGTGTGGCCTAGTGATCAGCTGATGAGTAGGAGGTGTGGCCTGGTGATCAGCTGATGAGTAGGAGGCGTGGCCTGATTGTTTTCTTCCCCTCAGGGTTTTCCGTTTGCTTTCTTGATCAGAGATGCTTGTTGTTTGATCGGTCAGATGTTTTAATTCTGGTTTACTTTAATCTGAGCTGCTGTGTTGAAGAAGTCGGTCCGGCCACGTTCGCATGTTAGTTCAAACCTGGGTTTTATGATCCACGGGTCATGTTTGACCCTTTAGTTGTCCTTGACTGGCCTGAACATAAACAGCAAGTATAAAAAAGTGTTTCTTTGAGATGCAGAATGCAAATGTTCAGCTCTTATTTTGAAACTTGCTTCTACCTGTGCTTTGCTTTTATTTTGAAAGCTGTTTTTTCAGTTCAGTTAGCGATGTTAGCTTCCTAGCGTGGGTGCTTCTGATGAGAGGAATTCAACAGATGAGTGTAATTTTGTAGCCAATATAAAACACTTTTAATAAAGGGTTAAGTTTTATCTGATAAGATTGTAACTGCTAATTTAAATAAATATATAAAATAAATCCTCGTCACATTAAAACCCTGAAGCTGTTAGAGCCATGCTGATTATAAACAAATGGACGATCAATTAAACGAATCAACTGGTCTGATTCTACTGATGAGTGGAGTTAATGGAAGCTTTGGTTTCCTGTCGTGGCAGAGATTTTCATTAAACATGTATTAACCCATCAGTTGGTTTAAAGACCTGAATCAGAGTTTGTAGCTCAAACTAATTATTTTACTAACACACTCACCCAGGATGAAGCAGGAAATACAGGAGAACAAGGCTGTCTCTGGTCCCTGATCCTGTCTGAGGTGCTCACGGACCAGATCTCAGTTGTGGAGCAGAGGGGGTCTGGTCTGGGACCCTCAGGGTCTCATCTCTGCTTTATGATGTGTTTCTGCTGGTTCTTCAGTCCAAGACCTCCGGCGTGGATTCAGGTGGTCCAGCTGGGATGATGGTCGGCTCTTCAGTCTGAGGCCATGGTTCTCACAGGTGGAACCCCCACCCCACCTGGTCGGGGGGAGCCTTTACCTCAGGTGTTCAGGTATCTCAGGGTTTTGTTCAAGAGTGACATTGGGATGGAGCTGGAGATCCACGGATTACTGCAGATTCTGCAGTATTGTGGACGCTGTGCCAGTTCTTGTAGTGAAGAGGGAGCTGAGCTGCAAGGCTGCTGTAGTGAAGAGTCCACGATGATGATGATGATGATGATGATGATGATGATGATGATGATGAAGAGTAATTCCATCCTCAGCTGTCAGAGGACCATTGTGGGCGGCAGTAAGAGTTCCTCTCATCTGTTTGACTTAAAGCGTTCATGGAGACTTAATGATGAGGCTGACACACACACACAAACACACACACACACACGCACACACACACACACACACACCGCCTCTTATTCTCGTCTGTAAGTGTGTGTGTTACAGTATTTGTGTAGAGTTTGTGTCACATTCATAAAATTTATTCTTCCAGAAATGGTCTCATTGTGCTCAAATCACCTCGTGTGCACGTGAAGTTCTTCGTGCATGAATCCATTTAGCTTTGTGTGTGTGTGTGTGTGTAATCAAAATGAGATGATGTCAAATATAAAAAAAGAACAAAAAATCTAAAATTTGAAGTGAAAAACAAACAAGAGTTTTAAAAATAAACTAAAGATGTTTAGAATGAAGGAAATTAAAAGTGAAACAACTAAACAAAATAAAGAAATAAATGAAATTGAGAATAAAAATAAATTAAAGTCTGATAAATGAAGGAGGGAAAAGAGGAAAGACAGAAATAAAGCTGCATCATAATGGAAGGATGTAAAAACTAAAGACAAAAGGAAATAAAACCTCCTGGATGTAAATAAAGTGACTGAAACAGATGAAGGTGGAACAAACAATCAGAGGAAGAAGTGATGGAAGAAAATGAAGAGAAAAGTTTCAAACAGGAGAAATGAAAGTATCAAACACAGAAACAAACAAGTGAAGGAAGAGGGGAGGAGAAATATTTCACTGTCAGAGGAGGAGGAGGAGGAGGAGAGCCGGGTGGAGAACATGAAGGTGACGAAGAGAAGAAGCGAGTCCAAAAAAAGAACAAACCTCAAAAACAGAAACTGAAGCTACGAGGTGAAGACAATCGTGTTGGAGGGTGAGGAAATGAAGAAAAGTCTCCTCGGATAGACAGAAAGATGGAGGACAAAACAGACAGACTTCTGGGAGACTGTTGCTACAGAAAACCACCCCATCCAAGCTGATGATGTCATACCCAGAAGGCATTGGGGTGGGAAGGATGGTCGGTCCGTAAAAAGTATTTTTAATTAAAGCTTGGTTCAGATCTGAGCAGAACCAGGAAAGACATTAAATCTCTTTATTTATTAGACAATGGAGTCTCTGAGGGTTCAACAGGTCCAAGTCACTACAGTTCAATCCTGATGTCATTTAATTCAGTTTAATTACAATTTAATCAGAAACGGTACGATCCAGAATCAAATCTGCTCACATCAATTCAATACGTTCTACTTCAATACAATGCTCCGCCCCCTTTTTGGAATTTAATGATTCTCCGCCCCTTTTTGGGAACAGACATTCCCTTCGCTTTGACTCGTCATCAGAACAACCCCTGAGGTGTTTATTTATTTGTATTTATTTTGTAAACAACGTTAAACAAAATTACACTGCTTCTTTACATCTCTCGTGGTTCTGGACGAGTTCTGGACTACTTTTTATTCCATCGTTGGTTTCTGCTCAGCCCTCTGAAGGTCCACCACAGTCAGTCAGGTTCACGTTCTGGACTCTGACTGGACCGATGGTTCTGTTCTGTCCTAGATCAGCTGCTGTGGTTCGGATCAAGGTCCTGTTGGACCCAGTTTGGTACATTTGACTCCAGAACCCTTTGATCTACAGAGAAGATCTGGTCTACTCAGTGACTGACAGGAGCCCAAACCATCAGCCTTCCACCACCGTGCTAACAGCTGGGAGGAGCTGTCTGTTGCAGTGCATTCTGGGTAAACATCTGCTCTCCACCACGTGCTTGGCTGTTAGTAAAATATGTTTGGAATGCTACAAACGTTTGTTCAGTCGGTTCCTCTGACGTGACGTTATCAAACCCGTCTTTACAACCATCATGTTCCGTATTTCATCCACGCTTTGTCCACTGAGTCGTCAGAACCTCTTCGACCTGCACCGTTCGGTTCGTCTGATTGATCATGAGAATGAGTGGGATGATGTTTTATGTTGATTAGCTCACAAAGTCCTCTAATGCCTGCACAGAACCCTGAGGTTCTGGTTCTGTTCTGAGGACCAGGTGAGGGATTCTGTTCCTCTGGACGTTTCCTGTTTTCAGATGTGTGATCCTCTGGTCCCCCTGGAAGTGGATCCTTCCGGCGGCAGCTCGGTGTGTGTGCTCGGAGAGGAGCAGATGTTCGGCTCGCTGTTTCTCTTCTTGACAAACGAGCAGCTGAATGTGTTTCGCTGAGGCAGCACTTCAGCTGCAGCACACCTGCCACGACACTCCCGTCCCCCCGTCCTGCTCGTCTCATCATACATGTGGACGTTCATTTCCTTTAATCATCGTGACGTCTGCGCAGGGCCTCCACCGCTCTGGAAAAACACAAATCAGCATTCTGAGCAGGCTGAATGATTAATTACAGATGTGATAAATTAATTTGTCTTAATGGTGGGAACACCTGCTGGTCTTTCTTAAATTTAATCACTGCATTTCACCGTGGGGCTCGGGAAATGTCCCCAAGTCTCTGAGATATGGAGGAAAAATAGGATTCTAGGAGTTCAGTGCAGAAAGCCACCCCCCAAAATACAAGCCCCACCCACAAAATATGTGGTACTTTTTTAAGACTTGCAGTTTAACACGGCGAACACAGCCACCAAAACGTTTAGCTCTGAAAGACTCGGTCACAGAAGCCCATCAGATCTTTGTCTAAATATTCTTTAACTGGTCTCAGTTCCTGTAAATCTAGTTTTGTTGGACTTTTTAACTGGTCAGCTACTTGTTTTTGTGATGGGTGGCCCCTAAACAAACTGAATCCAAGATGTGACGGCCACGTTGTGTTTGCACCACCTACGGACAGATGTTTGGATCCTCAGTACCAGTTAGAATAAAACAGTATTTTAACAAAAAGTTATAATAAAAACGATGATATAATAAAAAGTTATAATAAAAACGATGTTATAATAAAAAGTTATAATAAAAATTATGTTATAATAAAAAGTTATAATAAAAACGATGATATAATAAAAAGTTATAATAAAAACGATGATATAATAAAAAGTTATAATAAAAACGATGATATAATAAAAAGTTATAATAAAAACGACGATATAATAAAAAGTTATAATAAA